CCTCCCGAACAGGGCCTTAATTAAGGGAAAAAAAAGAATGAAAAAAAAAGCGCGTAGTCAGCGAAGTACATACGCCGTGTCCCCCGTCTCCCTCTCGTCAAACACATACAAAAAAAATTCTCGAACTGACATTCATACCGAAAAAAATATTCTCATAAAAAATTTCAAACTGTTCAATAAAGACCAAGATGTTGCGATCCTGCTGTTATCGGCCATTGGAGAGGTATCTGGGGAGGCGGAGCAGTGACGGATTACTGTGGCACCTTGACCTGAAGCCGCACGCCTCCGGCGACTTCTCGATCGCTGCCGTACAAGCCAATTCCAGCATGGAGGACCAGAGTCAGGTCTTCACGTCGCCGTCCACCACCTATGTTGGAGTCTACGATGGCCATGGTGGACCCGAAGCCTCCCGCTTCGTCAACCGCTACCTCTTTTCTTATCTCCATAGTAATAATTTCGATACAAAATTATACGTTTCTTTTGTTGCTTTCGAATGTGTGCGCGTGTGGTTTCTAGATAGGGTTTGCGAATTTCGTTAATACATGGATGTGTATTTGAAGACCATTTGCTCAATATTTTGATTTGACGGGGTTTTATTTTCTATATGGACACTTAAATTCTGTTTTCTCTTTTGAAAAAAAGAAATGAAAATTGGGCTCCAAATTCTCTTTTACATTGCTGAAGACAAAATTCAAATTGATGGTTTTAAGATTTTAAGCTTTTAGACAAGATGGTTAACATGCATCGACCTTTAGCTAAACTTTATGGTCTCCGAGGAAAGAAAATGTAAATGTCTCATTCATGAGCTGCCAGGAGATCCGCTAGTGCTTCTCTTCCCAAACAAGCCGGAGAGTAGTAGGTCTCACTAGCTTTCTTTTATTGGGTCGCTCTACGTTGCATTTTTCGATTAGGTTGATGGAACCAGGTGTCCATTTGATGACTTCGAGGCAAGAATTTAAGACTGCCTAATTGGTCTACTGTTTTGTTCTTTACACTATAAACTATTTGATGGATATTTTTTCTTTCCTAAACCTTTGTTGTCATCATGAAATACTCTCTCAATGAATTATATGGAATGTTCAAATCCATAGAGATTTAAGAAGCAAATTCTTTGTATTCTTTTTTTTTCTTTTTCTCTCTCTCTCTCTCTCTCTCTGAAATGTGTATATGTGGGATATTTTGTAGAATTTGAAACTGAGCAAGGGGGCCTATCAGCAGATGTGATAAAGAAGGCATTTTATGCAACAGAAGAGGATTTTACTCTATTAGTGAAGCAATCGTTGCCAGTCAAACCACAGATTGCTTCAGTTGGATCGTGTTGTATTCTTGGTGCAATTTCAGATGGCGAATTGTACATAGCGAATTTAGGTGACTCAAGAGCGGTTCTTGGCAGGAGAGGTTTTGATGGGGAGAGGAATTTGGTGGTGGCTGAACGGTTGTCAACTGATCATAATGTTTCATCTGAGAAAGTGAGGAGGGAGGTACAATCACTTCATCCAGATGATTCTTCGATAGTGTTCCAATGCCATGGAGTTTGGAGAATCAAGGGCATAATTCAGGTACTCATGTATACGAACTAACTTACTGATTTGTGCGTTTGGAAAGCCAATATGAAAAATTTCTAATTTGATTTAAACTGTTGTAAGAATATCTTAGAATCTGAATGAGTGGCTTTTAAGCGGTTGAGGTTATCATATTTCCCAATACCCAGTGCAAAATCTTCAATCTCATTCTTTGTGAAGAAAAGCTGCAATGAGTACCTAGTGTCAAACTTTTACCTTACAAGATATCACACAGATGTTCAGATATGCTGATTTTGAAGGTTGAAAGCTGCGATCTTGACAATGAATTGAAAGACCCCCACATTGAAGCCTTAGTTTCATTTATTACAGTTTTGGTTTGGTTATAATACAATGATATACTTCTTGTCTATTATACTATCCAATCTGGCCCATCTCTGCGTGGGAAACATGCACCTAGAGTTCCTTACATTCCCTTGTCAGGCCATGCACATTTTGGCTATATTTCTCCTTAACTATTAAGTAGTTGGATTTATTTACTTATGTCAAGATTGCGAAAAGGTATTGTACTGAAGGACATCATTGATACACGGTATAGATAAAACTGGACAGTATGGTGGACAAGATTGTACCTTTTTTTTCCCCCGTCTCTCCTCCTCTTGGCTCGGCATTTCGTTGGAAGGAAGATATTTCTTGTTCGCAAAGGAACCAAAGCAGTCACCTACAGTTTATTTATTGCATTATCCTATTCTATATATCAAGCTTGTTCTGAAGGGTTACATCTTCACTACTCTTCCAGGAGTCACGTGCTCTGCCTCTTGGCCCTGTCTCATGCAGCTGAAGTCAAAGTAGCACACCCAGGCTTCTGCTCATGAGATGTACATGAAGATCTTATAAAGCAAAAGTTTTGTGATTCTGGTGGAAGTTTAGTCTGGGGACTATAAATTCCTTTATGTTCATATAAGTATTAGGATCTATGTTTATGTTTCTTTTTATAATTAAGAGGTATGGGTGGTGCTCAGTGAGGAATAGAGGGCATCTGCCTCTATTTTGTGTATCCTTTGCTTGTTATCTTCTGTTTACTTTTTATCAATATCGCATCAAAATGTCCTGAAAATGCAACTTTTCTCCTTGCTGCTTTCCAGGTATCGAGATCAATTGGTGATGTTTATCTCAAGAAACCCGAGTTTAGCAGAGATCCAATTTTCCGACAATTTGCAAATCCTTTCCCCATGAAGAGACCAGCATTAACAGCTGAACCCTCCATTATAACTAGAAAGCTTAGGCCACACGATTTGTTTTTAATATTCGCTTCAGATGGCCTCTGGGAACATCTCAGTGACGAAGTAGCAGTTCAAATTGTATTTAAACACCCAAGAGCTGTAAGTACCAAGTTCCTCTACCTCTGCAGATACAATTTCAGTTTAACTGGTTGTAGTTGGGTTCATCTTTTACTTATTTCCGCTTATTTTAGTCAATCACTCAGTTTAGGTATTAGCTGTTTCTATAGATTTGCTGTGTGATATTCTCATGAAAGGATCTCTCATCATTCTCTATTGAATCTCTTGAATTGACGCTATATAAATGTGCACTTTACCTAATATATGTCGCAGCAAATCTCATTCGAGTTCTGCATTGCTTTTTAGCAACGTGACGAGGAAAATACATTTTTAGTTGAATGATTAACCAAACACGATGGTTTTGTGCGGTGAAACTTTTGCAGGGAATAGCTAAGAGACTGGTAGTAGCTGCACTCGAGGAGGCTGCTAAGAAGAAGCAAATGAGTTGTAAGGACCTTAATAAGATCGAAAAGGGAATCAGACGTCATTTCCACGATGATATTACTGTGATTGTGATTTATCTTGATCATCACAAAAAGTCTTCCAGTTCCAATCACAAAGAAGGTACTCTTGGCTACATCACTGCCCCTGTTGACATTTTCTCCAATAATTTTGATGAAGTCGTTGAAAATTCATCCGACAAGATTTTAACGAGAGTCGTATACTGAGAATATTGTTGAATAGAGATGGAGTGGAAAATACAGGTTGCTGTAGATAAATTATAGTAAATGGTGGATGCTGGTGAAAGAAGGTAGAATTTGAAATCTAGACTTTACATCAATGGACATTTTTTTCCTTTGCTACTTTGGTTATTGATTTTGGTCCAAGATTTGCTAGCAGAGTATGATCCTGAAAGTTCACCATATTCTGTTCAAGAAAAAGCAATAGTGTGTTTCTGAAGGAAAAAATGCAATAGCAACAATGCAACTAAGTGACAACTTTTAAAGACAAAATATGTTCTACCAACTACTAGTAGAAATGCAAAAATAAAGAGTTAAAAGTGTCTCTAACATCCTGAAGTAACTAATGTTCTCAACAAACAAACATGGAATTTAAGGAAAACTCCTTAAGGTTGCTTCTTCCGTGATTCATCTTCCAAATCCAACAATCATGCAAATACAATTTTATTCCCATACTTGTCTTCAAACAAGTAGGATACTATGTATGAAAGCTCTCTCTCTTGTTGCATTGATTGATGTTGCGACAAAATTTTGCAAGTGAATGGTATTGTGACAAGTAGTAATATGGACGTATGTTCAAGTATCGTTTCCTCGGAGACTATGCTATTCAATTGAATTCCTACTAACCCTAACTTTAACCGAATTAATAGGCTTTGCAAAAATTTTGTGAAGTTATTTTTTGTGTTCTATATAAGCAACAAGGGAAATACTACATATTATTTGCAGATAATGCAGTTCAGATCCTCCTCAGAAGTGAACTCTACAACCTCAACAAGTTCTTTAATTGTTTTCATTTTACCAATTTTCAGAAAATCAATTGAAAAGAATGTTCTTCTCATATGCCACAAAGAAAACTATTATTTCCTCGTACGAATTTGTGACATGATTCAATTTTTATGCAATCACAATATCATATTCACAAAAAATCAATTTTCTTTTGACATAACATGACAAAATTCATTCATCTTGTTCTTTTGCAAATGAAAATATCACAACTATTTTTTTTGTTCTATATTTTCTTAGTAAATGAAAGTATATAATATTGAGGTGAGAAACAATTCTATTATGTTTCTGGGTCCTCGTGGTTGCATAAAAGTTGAGGTGTATCTTGCCCTTTTATCTTTATTGCACATACTTTTTTAAATTATTAATTTATAATTTTATTACTT